TACGAATCTCAGTTTCGTAACTTTCCTCTAATTTCTGGATGGAGGCGTGATAAAGTTTATCATTAACTCTGTCCGAATAACACTTAAATATTAGATTGCAGAAACGGGGAACGATACCATACTGTTTGCAACAATTTAAAAAGGCCAAATGGCAGGATTGAATTACAATTGTCTTCTTTGTCCGGCTGTATCAGCCTTAGTAGCGGTAATCCGTATGCCATTGGTGGTCGTGCATCCTTTCTTATGATTGAATTTCTTGTCCATGCGTCAATTTTCCCATTCCTATGCATATCTTTCATCATGACACTTTAGATTCCATTGATCTTCATAATTGGGTCCTTGTTCAGTATACGATATGTGCTCCTGTCTCGTAGAATATGTTCAATCTTCTCGGTATATTGTTTTTTTGTACATTATCACTGTAGCTCTTCCTTTGTCCGACAGGACTAATTGTTCATTCGTTTCCAGGGTTTTGCGTATCAGGATAAATCTGTTCCCGTGTGTAGACTCCTGATGTGTCAAAATCTTTGGAATTAGTTCCAGCTCCATTTTCTGTTTTGTCTCCTCAGGGAACTTGGCAGCGATATTGATAACCTCAACCAGGATGTCTTCTAGAAGGCTTCTGTGATGTTGAATTGAGAAATTGAGCCCTATTTCCAGGAACGAGACAAGGGGATCCAGATTGGAAGCCCGAGTCGGATCAGCCGATCGAAAGAGATGAGGTCGGGGTGAATAGCAGGTGTGATGAGGTCACACTAGTTTTGCCACAAAATATCATACATTTTGACGAGTGTAAGGTAAAAAAGTGAGAAGTTGTGATAGGGCGGCAGTGGGATAAGAGGGTAAAGAGTAGATAGATAGGCCAGGACAGAAAGAGAAGTGATAGTGTAACCGTTTTCGGCAGAATGTTTGTAGAGAGATTGAATTTACTTGTCTCTTTGACAGTGCCAAGTCCACTGTCTGATGCTGAGAATCATGACAACTACTAGAGCAGACGACTTCGGACTAGGTGTGTTCTAGTAAGTCACCGTGACAGCAAGACCAAGTTTCGAAAACGAAGTCAACCCACTTCTATAAATCGAAAGCATACTGCGACCCTATCAGAGGCCACAACATCTTGGTCTTCATATCTTTAATTAAAAATTACCTGGTGGACCGTGAAAGAGAACACCGCGGGGCGGTTCAATTTTAAAGCGAGCAAACACCTCAGGATATATAAGGGGCAGAATAACGGTTTCCTTGAGTGCGCGGATCTGTTCTGCGTGGCCACCAACGTCATCAAAGCCGATGCTAGTGTCTATCTCCATCGGTTCAATATCTGCAAGATTTCCGCGAGCAATAAGCCGATCTCGCAATACACCATTCTATGAAAATAAAAAAAACAAAGTGCGTTGTTTACTAGATAGAACTATGAAGCCATTATCTTTAAAATATGTAATAAAAGAGATAAGTCGTGTACACAATTAAGTGGGATAACCAAATCAAATGCCTGCACTGACAATAATTCGAAATTTTTTGTTTTAAGTATGAAGTAAAACTGGTGGTAAGAAGCTGAACCGGCAAAGATAAAATTGAGAGTTAAACTGAAAGATAAAAAATTCACTAAGTTAAACAAGCAGGCCTTAGTAAGCTATAGGAGATCAATTAGCTAAAAGGATTTTTTTATCCAGAATAGGCTATATTTTCGAATTCCCTTAGACTATACCAGGGTCCAAAAGCATTGGCATCCCTACCAGACAGTTGCAGATTTCAATGGGCAACAGTGAAAACATTACAAAAGACAGACCTGAACCGGATGAAAGTTAAGCGCTATTATAAATAAAACAATGTTGTATATGTTAGTATAATCGATGAGTCTACTAAATACGTAAAGCTTCAATAGAATCAATAAGTCTTGTATTTCTCGAAGCAAATTTAATAGGTGTCAAAAAAGCTAAAGGTTAATGGCAAATACGAATATGAGTCATCAATTTGCATGACAGGATCAAGGTACGATTAGAGTAATGGTCACTCATGGATGAGATAACCTTTTGGAAGGAAAAGCTGTGTGAAATCAATTGACATCTTTAGGCATATTTATTTTATTGTGGTAAAATTTAACTATCAGTCTTTAGATCACCTTAGGCGACATATAATGACTTAAAATCTTATCAGAGTTACTGATAGTCTCGAACAGCAGTAATTAAGTAAATACAATATTACAACATAGATACACATACATACAAGTCGATTAGGAGTAAATGTTCTTAAAGAGGCAAATTATCACATTTTTTAGACAAATACGATATTATCGAAAACCTGTAAGGTAGTTAAAAGACAAGGCTAATGGTAATGAGGAAAGTAAGCCATGTAAAATATTGATAAAAAGTAAGTAATTGCATATATGAAGACCAAGATAATGTGACCTCTGGCATGGTCGCAGTCTCCTTTCGATTTATAGTAGTGAATTGACAATACAAGAGGCTACACCATCTTGGTCCTCATATCTTTAATCAAACTATGGTAGTAAATTTGCCAGACAATGCACTGAATACAGCCGCACAAAGAAGACAATTTTAAGTCAATCTTTTCATCTGACTTTTTTAAAATATTGTAAACGTTATGGTATCATTCCTAAGTTCTGTGACCTTAAGAGAACCCTACCACTCGCATAAGGTTAATGACTATCTCCACCAGGCTTCTATTCAGAAACTAAGTAAGACTTATGTTACAGAGAGGAATAAGCTATTTATGTTTAAAGATATTCAGTCAAAGCTCCGAGGTAATCTTGCCAGGATCCTGTCTCCGGAAGACTTACCAAAACACCGCAACACAACCGATAAATCACGTAGGATTTCTGACTTGATAACAAAACGGCATGACGATAAATAGCGTAAGTTTGGGATTATAAGACAGCCTAAGTAAAAGTCAGTACGCCTAGATGAATTGGCCCCCGAAGTAAAAACACCTACTAATCAGCACGGCGATCGAAAGAAAGCATTAGACTTGTCATCAATTTCTCCCAATCTCAAAACAGCCGTGTTCCTGAAAAAAAGACTCAATTTCTAAATTCAACATGACAGAAGCCTTTTAGGAGACATCTTTGTGGAGGTTATCAATATATCCGACAAGTTCCCTAAGGAGACAAAACTGGAAATAGAGATGGAACTAATTCCAAATATATTGACACATCATGAGCCAAAACACAGGAACAGATTTGCCAGGATACACAAAACCCTGGAAACAAATGAAAACCTTCCTTCGGACTGATACATGTGTGGCAGTGATAATAAAAAAAACAAAAAAAAT